CTAAAACACTGAATCTGAAACAATGACAAGAAGCGAAATGGAAATGTCTAGCAGATAAAAGCCTTAGGGCTGGAGTTTAGGCTGAGCCCAGGCTGTAGACCTGATCTGTCTCACCTGCTAAGAGGAAGAGTCAATGATAATGTATGGATTCTTAGCCAAAGTCAGGAAAAAGAACAAGTGAGTGAAGAAACTCAGGCTCTGGGCAGTAGAGCAGTAAGAAGCAACATTAGGGGTTGGGGGCATCTGACTGGCTCAGTTGGTTACACGTCTGGCTCTTGGTTTTGGCTCAGATCATGATCTCATGGTTTGTGAGCTCAAGCTCCACGTTGGGCACGCTGACAGTTCAGTGCCTGCTTAGAACTCATTCTCCCTCCCTCTCTCTGCCCCACCTGTCTCAAAATAAATAAATATTTAAAAATTTATATATATAAAAAAATTAACATTAGGATACCCCAAGACATTAAGAAAACCAGCTAAGGCTACAGTAAAATGAAAAATCAAGATAAGTGATAGAGCTGTGGAAGTCAAAAGACAGAATGTGAGAAGAGGGACCCCTTGGTCCTGGTGTGGACCAGAGAACCCCAGTGATGTCTGAGTATGTGGTTTCAGCGGCTCTGCAAAGGTGGAAGCTAGAAGGTGTGGGGCGAAGGAGGAGCTACAGGCCAGTCATTCAATATGTACACTAGTGAGAGAAAGGACAGGAGCAAATGGTAGCTACAGAAAGAATTACAAAATGCATTTTTTAAAAGGAGTCGGTAAAGAGGGATTCACCAAGACACATACAGGTACTTTTCATGACTCATAACAAAGAGGTTCTCTGGGCTATTTCTGAAAAAATATCCTATCCGATATCCCTTAGAAACAACAAGTAGAGGAAGGAGGGAGGGAGGGTTTCTGACATACCAGGATATAATTATGCCTAAGATTACAAATACATTTTTATTTATTTTTTATTTTTTTTTATTTATTTTTGGGACAGAGAGAGACAGAGCATGAACGGGGGAGGGGCAGAGAGAGAGGGAGACACAGAATCGGAAACAGGCTCCAGGCTCCGAGCCATCAGCCCAGAGCCTGACGCGGGGCTCGAACTCACGGACCGCGAGATCGTGACCTGGCTGAAGTCGGACGCTTAACCGACTGCGCCACCCAGGCGCCCCACAAATACATTTTTAATATAATTAAGGATACTTTATTTTTATTTACCACGTCATACAATGTTTCTTACTATATTTTTTACTCCTAAGACTCACGGTGTTTTATTTGATCAACATGTATTTTATTATGCATCCACTGTGTTCTTTTTTAAAATTTTTTTTTAATGTTTATTTTTGAGAGAGAGAGAGAGAGAGAGAGACAGAGTACAAGCGGGGGAAGGGCAGAGAGAGAGACGGAGACACAGAATTCGAAACAGGTTCCGGGCTCCACGCCATCAGCACAGAGCCCGACGCGGGGCTCGAACTCATGAACCGTGAGTTCATGACCTGAGCTGAAGTCGGCCGCTTAACCAACTGAGTCACCCAGGCACCCCCATCCACTATGTTCTAGACACTAAAAAATGAGCTTCAAAAATGAGGTGTTTTTTTTTTCTTCCAAAAATGAGTTCTTGAAGGAACTTAAACTTTTCCATAATAAAATTCTTATAAGATTTAGATGATTTCTGCCATACTTTCTGCCACAGGTCACTGCCTTTTTTCTAACACTATGGCCAAAGAAAGTGAGTATCTGGATTTACCCGAGTGGATCAGATACCTCCAAGTGACACCGTGAGAACTTCCTGAGGGAAACTAGCTAACAGGTACCTCGGAGAAACTGGCACAGAGCCAGCAGTTATTTATCACAAAGGATGTGTCTCAAAAAGATTGGCGAGTTGGTGAGACATAATATCAAGTCTGCCAAACCAAAGGCAGATATTGCCAGAGGGAGGATTTTCATCGCTGATTTAACCACACACAAACCTGTAGCTCTAAGCATCCACGGAACTTCGTTAGCCTGCTTATTGAGAACGCTGCCTACCAACAAAACTTAAGTACTTCCTGGAGGTACGTTTCTTTTTCTTTAATTAAGCAAAAGTCGAGTCAGGTATATTCCTAACTTGCTAGCGCTTGTCAGGTAAAAACGTAGTCAGCACCACAGCAGGATTTTTAACATCAAAGTTCTGATTTCCATCGTCAGCCGAGAGTCGGCCTAACACCACCGGCAAGCGCTGCCTTTAGGAAGGAAATCCACGCATGGCCTCTGGCGCTCTGCTTCCCTGGTCCACCAGCGAGGAGTGTGAACTAGCCCCAGAGTCCACAAACACCCTGATGTTTCAAGTGACCTTGCGTGTTGTCTAAAGTTAATGCAACTTAACTGCAACGGGATGGGTTTCCAAGTTTCTGTGAATATTATGACAACAACCAGCACTTACTAAACTAACGGCCTGGCGGGCACTGTGCTAAGAATTTCACATCAATTACACGATTTACTTCTCACAGTAACAGGCACTATTTCTATCACCGCTGGCGGCGGGGAAACTTCAGCTCGGAGAGGTTAAGAAACTTCCCTGAGGTTATGAGACGCGTAAGTGGTGATGGGCTTCAAGCCACACGGTTTCTAATTATTCTTCTCTGATGAATTACAGTCCAGTGTTTCCACTGACTTGGCAGTTACATGACTTAACCCTCCCTCCTCAGTTAGCCAAGGCGCAGGTCAGCAAACTTTTTCTGTAAAGGGCCAGCTAGTAAATATTTTCGGCTTTGCGGACTATACAGTATATGGTCTTCAGTGGCTACAACAACTCAGTTCCGCTCTTGCAGTGCGACAGCAACACAGACAACGAGCAAGTCGTCCAAGCAACCAGTGTGGTTGTGTCCCAGTAGAACATTTACTGAAACGGGGCAGGCAGATCTGGGCAAGAGTTACACTGAAGTCAAATTCATGCTCCAGACAGATATGCGTATTTATTCTGTGGCTTTGTATAATCTTCCATTATGTTTGGGAAGAACAAGTCGAGAGAAAATGGACTTAAAAAAACAAAAACAAACACAAAACAAAACAGCAGCAGCCAATGCCAAAAGGTAAGGGACAGGGACTTAGTGTTTCTGTTCTATCCTTTACCAAGCAACGGAGTGACAATGACAGGGACCCTACACGTTCCTCCTCCACTCCCTCACAGGCATGGGTCCTCTGCTTCCACTGGGCCCGTGGATGTCCCCTCAGAGTCTGGCACCCCGCCCAGGTCACAGCACATCTTCCCATCAGCTGTGACTCTCCCTGTATAGTGGTTATATAAGCCTTACCGTCCTGCAAAATCGGAACCCTACCCTTAGAGTCTAGTGAACTTTCTAGTTATCCTCTCTACATGTTTTATGTCATATCTCTGTGTCTTCACTCATGCTAGGGAAACCGTCCCCCTCTCTGTGTTACCTGATGCGGAGAGCTAATTCGAGAAATACGTTACTGCATATTCCCAGTTCAAAACTCCTAGTCCTTGGATTCACTCCTAAGAAGACATCATTTCTGAACATGACAAGTATACTTGTGTATTCTGTTTCAACTGTTGACTCACTGATTTCAAATACTACAACACTGACACCACGAAAGAGTTATGAGAATCCCCGAAGTGTCATTGTCACTGGATATAACTGGTCACTGGCTAAAGCAGTGAAGACTGAGTTTAGAGATTTAGCTTTGTTTTCATGTTCTGAGTGATTAGAAGAAAGGGTAACCTTTATTTTCATACAGAGTTGGGAGGTAACCGTTATTCAATCATACAACACTAATGATCATTTGGGGTATCAAGAAGCTAAGTAGGAAAAACATCATGGGGGCACTAAAATGTCTAAATGTACTAAATATACTGCTTGGTATTCTGTGTCTCTCTCCGTCCCTCCCTCACTTGCTCACTATACCTTTCTCAATATAAATAAAAATTTTAAAAAACTTAAAAAAAAAAGTGTTCAACATTCCAGTCGTCTCCCCTAAACTTGTCTGACCCTGAAACTCTCCCCCCCCCTAACATCTGTTACCATTTCTTAGAACCATGGTTTCATAAAAAGCAACCAGGGAAGCTTTTGGAGAATAAATTAAATGCTGATTAAATTTAAGAGGCAGTTTAAAATTTTAGCTATAGCCTTATGAATTTCTTCATAATACAGTTGAAATTCCTAATACAGTTGAATATAATTCCTAATATGGTGGAATAGATCAGCACTGATAAATGCTACAATGAAACATACGAAGTTATGACTTGGAACTATTTATCAATGAGCACTATAAATTTACCATAACCACCGGGGAGCTTAGCCTTGGTTTTGCCATTTGCTAATAGTATGATCTCTGGGATAAACAGATTTAAAGTCTCAGAGTTTTGATTCACCTCTATCTAGAGCAGGGCCAGATGTGCCCTGTCTAACCAACTGGCACATTTTGAGAATCCAGTGATCGAGATGAAAAACGAAATCATGAACGATTCTTCATCAGCAATAAAGTGTTATAAAAGTATACAAGGAGTTATAAAAGTATAAAAAATAATATATTATCTCATCAGTCTCACTTTTATAGAGCCACACTCAATGCTGTTGTGGTTTTCTTCTTCTCTTAAACTCTGGCTGGAATGTTGTCTTATAATTGCCAAATATCTGGTTTCACTTGGGAAATTAATTTTTGGTTAGTTATTAATCAAAATAATGTATCATCCAGAGTTTCTCAGACAACACATGGCAAAAATAGGAGAATCAGAAAACTCTGTTTGAAAGAAGAGATTTACCGCCAAAGAACTGGTGAGCAGGACCACCTTTCTCTGGGCTCTGTTAGGAACCCATCTGTGGCCGCCCTTCGTCGCCAGTGAATAAAGACAGTAGGGCTCTATATTCTCTGAGTCCTTCATTAAACTATTGATCCCTTTGGCATTATCCATAATGTTCCAGCAGCTCAGCATGTCAACTGGTGAAGCGCTAGTCTCCCACTCCTTTCAATAACTTCCACACTTTATGGAGAGGAAGTCGCAATGATTTATTTACCTGACATTTTCCAGTCCGGATGTCGTACAGGGCCACTGAACCGTGGCGAGCTCCAACGGCTATTCTGTGATTCCGCTCATAATAGCTGACCATGTAGAACCTGGATTGAACATTTTAACAACAACACAAACAAAAACAAACAAACAAAAAAAACAGGTGAGATAACCTGGAGGTGGAAGTGGGCTCTGACATATATTTTTAAATCAACAGATAATTCATACACTGAGATTTTTCAAAACTGTTGCACTTTAGTGGCTCTTAAAATCAACTGAAAGAAAAATGATGTGGAATACCACTTAGTCCCATTAATAATTACTGGCAGGAAAAGACAACTTCATCATTACAACCACCCTTGAATTTTCAAATGATAAACAGGGTCAAATACAAACGAGATTTAATATGGAAATTCAGTTCTGCTGGAGTAACTATTATGCAAATACTTCTATTCGAACAGAAACAGAAAAGATGAAAAGGTGTACATATTCAATCTGATTGTGTTCTCACATTTTATTAGAGTATTAAGCAGTGAAATATTCTTTCTAGCAGAACAATCATAAAAAGCTACATAAATGTTATGCTCAAGTTGATATCAATAATTTAGAATGAAATTAGTAAGTCAGCCACAAGAAAAAGTTATCTGGCAAGTTCCATAGATCTTCCACATTTGCCAGTTTATCTAAATGAGGGCTACGAGTACAGTAGTGTAAATAAGCATATTTGGTACTTATTTGGCATTACATGAAAAGAAAGCTTAGGGAGGATGATTTGAAGCTTATAAGAGGCTGATTTACTTTTATTTCTTTTTTGCTAAATTAATTTTCTCAACTGAATTAGGTATCTGAACTCCGGATCTATGCTTTGCCATAATGATTTCATGACCATATGGCTGGAGCCTGGGAAGATACGAATAAAAACTATTACAAGTATAAATAAGGTATGATTTTATATCCCCAAAGAGTTTTCAATATACTCAGTATGAGTTGCCCAGATGAACAAGTGGCTTATCCTAAATATTTATGATATTACACAATTCTACCACACAACTGTTGCCTTTTTTCTCTTTGATGTCATACTACCAAGCTAACTTTTCCATTATTATCTTTTTAAAGATGGGACGGGGAGGTAAAACATGACAGCAAGGAAATTACTGCTCTAATGCTTTCTTGAAACTGAGTAAAATACTACCTGGCCATGCGACTACATTTCTGAGAGGCTGAGAGAGAGAAAGAGGTTTGAATGTGAGGATTTTGAAACCAGAGATATTCTGATAAAGCTGTTTGGGCATTCATTATGACATCCATCCACATTTCATAAATCTAGGAAACAAGATATTAAGTTTTAAAACTTTTTGTTTGGTACTTATTAGCAAGTAGTGGATTCAATAATACTTTCGTCCTATCCCTAAGCCTTACCCAGTGACATGACTTCTTTCCTTTCAGTGGAAAATTAATGTTTTATCTTTTTAGTCACACGAAGGACACTATATTGGGATGTCCTGCTGGTTTTGCTGGGCTCAGGTATGGGATGTCCTCTCTGTATACTGGCTTCAGAGAAGAAAGGGTACTGAAGGCTTCTGACACATATGAAGCTTCCCCACTACTAACTGATTAGTAAAAGGTTAGTTTCTCAAAGTTTTTCCTGTCTAAAGCATCAGGTCACTCTACTTTATCAAAGAAGGTAGGAATCAGCATTCAAAATCCAATTTCTTAGAATTGAAAATAAAAATCTGGAGAGTTTAAAAACACTACTTTATTATTCAATAATTACAGTGATTTAAGTACCGGGCATCACCATGTGTCTACACCTACATCTACACACTTAAGCACACACAATCTATTCCTTATTAGAGTAACATGGAACATAATATCTAACAAACGGTTTAAATATTCTGTGACGGCTAATAGGCATAGGAAAATAAAATTTCCAGAAGTATTTTCAAAATCTATGATTAAACTTTGCACAGATGTAGTGGTAATATTGCCTAAATCTTTCTGCAGAACAGGACTATAATTATCTCTCAAAATTCTCCTCCTCAAAACAAACCTGTGGTAAAATACATTAGTGTGGACAAAATTTACTTAAACTAGAATCTTAAAAGTTTTTGTTACGTTGGTCATCTTCTGTGCTCTGGATATCAACTTCAGGTTTCTGTATCATCTATAAACACCACAATTTATGGAAGAAAAAAAAGGCCAAAATCTATTCCTGGTATGAAAGCTTTAGTTTGCCTGGAAAGGGCTATATGTTACAGGTCTGCATTTTCATTCTCTACAATTTACTGCTAGAGTAATACTTCTAAATGATATAACAGTTCTAGACAGTGAAGGTCTAATGGCATGTTTTTATCTCTGGATTTCTTGTTAAACTTTATACAGCGTCTCTTTTAAAAGAAGAAATACATGCAGTCACTTCATAAGTGTCTACTCTAGGGACTGGCTGCTGCAGTAGGCCTATCTCTGCCGAGGGTTTCCAGAATCCACCAGACCTCTAGACTACTACTCTCCTGGAACCAGTTTTCTATTGAGGGCCTGTCAAGATCAAGGATAGTGAGATAGGCCTTATTTACCGCTACCCACAAAGGTATCAATGGATTGAAGAGCAGCATCCACTACAGTTTTTAAAATTATCCCAGCCTTGACCTGATCCTACGTGAAAGTCTTAAATTCCTCCAAACTTTGGAAGGGGGGTGTTGTTAGAATAAGGACTCGTGTGTGTGGAATCTTGTGAAATGGGATCTCAGTCTCCAGTTCCCTGCACTGATACCATGTCATTTGGGCAGCTTTCTTGGGTCACAACCTGGCGAGAGTCCCTTCATTATATTCAAATTAAAACAATGATCTCTGTTGCTTGGCCCATCACAAAGAAACTCGGCTAAGTTAGAGAATCCATTACCACCCAAGCATGTGAAAAAAGAATAAACTGGAATTCGGTAATGTTACAAAATGTATTTCTTGCTGGGGTTGGGCTGGTTACCATCCCAGAAGTTTAGTTCCTGATACCCACACTTTCATCAGCGCCCACATGCGGCCGGGGACATCCTCTTCAACCATAAATCAAGTCACATGTCTTATGTTCACAACCATCCCTCAAGACTCTACATGATGTGGTCCCACCTCTCAGACGTCATCCGCTCTCCCCTTGCTCACTCTGCTCTAACTATACTGATCTCCTTGTAGTTTCTCGAATATGCCAAGAGTGTTTCCACTTTGGAGCTTGAACACTTGCTGCTCCCTCTGCTTGAAAATCTCATCTGCCTGATGTCTCCATGGCTCAGATCATACAGTCACTTTGTTTAAGTCTCTGTTCCAAGATGATCTTGACAAAGGAGAGCTTCAGGGGGCATCTTGTCTAAGACAGCAGCCTTTCCTCCATTACTGTGTAGTCCAACATCCTATTTTTTCTTTATCTTTTGTTGAATGTATGAATACATAAATGTGGTCCAAACAAACAGTAAAAAGTCATGCAGTAGGAAGTTCAAACACTATGCCTATCCTTTGGGGACTAGTGTATAAACCGTGCTAAACATACTGGTTTTTAAGACCAGTATTTTATAGGGTCTAAAATAATGAGGTAAAGAAACAAAGGAAATAAAAACTGTCCAAAAAAGTTAGGCAGAAGTCAAGAAACAGAGAACGGCCCCATGATCACTCTAAAAATCTATTTTTAATTGAGACAAACAACTGCAGATTTACATGGAATTATCTGAAAAGGCCCCTGTAACCTGGATATATCAGCATGAGACCAACAGCTGCATAGTGGAAACTATTTAATTCTACCTTAGGGAACTAGAAAAGACTACCTAGGCTGAAACTCAAGAAGGCAAATATAGTCTAAGTAACGATGTATACACGAAAGTATGTATTTTTGGTATAAATGTTGTTACGGAAATAAAGATTATGCTAAGAATCTGCCACACAAAAATGTCAATGAACACGGTACTGTCACACACACAAAACAGAATTAACAGAAATAACTTATCAGTCATTAGTAAACACTGCAATAGGTTATCTTATTTCTCCAAAGCCCTATCTATGACTTCGACTCTTTAGGACTAAGTCACAATGGGGTGACATCCACTCCACAATGGAGCGGTTTATAGTGTGAAACACACATGTGAATTGAGTGCAGGATCCTGGAGCAAATCACTTTGCTTGTGAGCGTGCCAAGCACCCAGTGCCTGAGTCTTGAAAGAGCTTCGGTACTCTATAGTCTCCTTTGAATTGGTGATCTTTTTGTCTTTATTAAAAGTGGCCTTCAAATAAGAGAAAACTGATGTGAAATTTAAAAGTCAATTTGGAAACACACAGGAAAAGGAAACAGCAACTCTTAGCAAAAATATGATTTGGGAGGAAAACAGAAACCAGTAGAGTCTCTTTCTTCACTATGACTCTGGTAACCTGCAATAGTCTCAGGTTGTTACTACTTTTGTATCCTTGAGCGTTAAAAAATAAGAAACACTCTTCAAAAATCCAAGATTAATCCCCAACTTAACGTGAAACCATCTAAATGCTAAGGGTGTGCAGAACAGAATGTATGGAATGAATACGATTATTTACAATTTATAACTATTTACAATTATATCTGGCGCTGCCCCAAATACATGACACATGTATTTTCATAAGTAAATGAGGTATTAGGACTATTGAGTGGCTTTTAGAAATTCTTGATGTTGATTTAAAACCGTTCACAAACTTTTGACTCTTCTTGTTGAAAAGGTATTAAGGTAATAGGTACTTGTAAAAAAACTCAGGGGTGCCTGGGTGGCTCAGTCAGTTAAATGTCCAATTTCGGCTCAGGTCATGATCTCACGACTTGTGAGTTCGAGCCCCGAGTTGGGCTCTGTGCAGAGAGCTCAGAGCCTGGAGCCTGCTTCAGATTCTGTGTTTCCCTCTCTCTTGCCCCTCCCCCACTTGCACACTGTCTCTCTCTTAAAAGTAAATAGACATTTAAAAAATAGTAAAAAAATAAATAAAATAAAAAACTCAAACACCGCCATTATGTATATAATAAAAAGTCAGTCCTCACTCTCATGGTAACCCCTTTCCTCGCCAATGGTTGACTACAATTAACGATTTGGTGGATCTTCTGAGAGTTTTTTCT